CCTCCCTCCCCTCTCTCCCAGCCTCCCTCCCCTCTCTCTCAGCCTCCCTCCCCTCTCTCTCAGCCTCCCTCCCCTGTCTCTCCCAGCCTCCCTCCCCTCTCTCCCAGCCTCCCTCCCCTCTCTCCCAGCCAATCCCAGAGTAAGTCAGATTTACCAGAGCCAGGGAGTGTTGCTTGTCAGCTGTGCGGGGTCGACCCAGAATATTGGTTACGTGTTTCCAAGATGTCGCTTTGCCTAGTTTTCTTTGTCGAGGTGGAGAGGAAATGGTGGTAGAGGAATGGGGTGTGGAGAAGGAAGGTATAGGAAGGAAGGAGGAAGAGAGAGAGGGAGGGTAGAAGCGAGAAGAGAAAGGCGATGAAGGTTTCCATATAGGCAGCTGTATCTGAAAGGTAAAGCAGTTATACGTGATGTTATAGTTTGTGCGAATGTCCCGCGTTAGAAGGTGGAATGTGTTAGAAGTGTGTTAGAGGTGTTAGCGTATTGGATGGGTAGCATCTTGCCACTCCCACCAGCCCTCAGTGCTGACCCCCTCGCACGCTGGCTAGTTCTGACCTGGCGACCTAGCGACCATATTCTGCACAATGAATTCGCGAACAGCTTCCTCCCAGTGACAAAATGATTTGAATCGCTCACGCATATCCTGATTTTCAACCACACATGCATACCTTGATTTCCAATCACGTACGCATACCCTGATTTCCAACTACACAAGCACACCCTGATTTCCAACCACGCATGGTTATTGACGTTGAGTCCCATTAGTTTCAGACCACCAGTCTTAAGAAATGCATCGGATCTACCAATCTCTGCTGGGATGTGTTCACATTTCGGACGAACCGCTAACTCCCCTGTTTCAGGCAGTGCGACTCCCAGATTTTGAACTCACACATTTCCGACCGCTTGCGCATGTGTTTAGGACCCGACCTCCGCCTTTCTGACCCCAGCCCTGAACGATTGCTTCCCATAGGGGGCAAAAGTCACGTGCAGCTCTGATCTAAAAACCGCCCTTACAGGCAAAATCTTGACTGCAATTATGTCTACTCGCGCCATCTACAATTATGTCTACTCTCGCTAGACATCTACAATTATGTCTACTCTCGCTAGACATCTACAATTAAGTCTACTTTCATCTGGCGCCCTTCTACATCATCCCCAGCACTTAGTTGTGTCTACAAGCATGCCCATCAAGATCAAGGCGAAGAATGTAACAGCATCATTAGTCGAGTACCGTCGAGGCCTTTACAATGAGGACGGTAATGAGGTGTGAGGAAGAGTCAGATCTGCTGCAGGAGGAGCGAAATAGACTAACACGATAGAGGCGGATATATAGCACCAGCGTCCCGGGGTCGCCGCAGACACACGCACCTGGCCACTGGACCACGACGTGCCAAGGATTATACAATCAGCCCGTGTGTGTGTGTATGTGTGTGTGTGTGTGTGTGTGTGTGTGTGTGTGTGTGTGTGTGTGTGTGTGTGTGTGTGTGTGTGTGCTGGAGCGGTATTATGTTGCAGATATCTTTCTCAGGGCTGACAAGGGTATATAAGTCTCGTTAAAGATAATGGAGGGAGCAGGTGTCAGTTTTAAGCAGTATTGTAAAGGCTAATTAATCTGTTCGTTGAAAGGATTCGCGAGCCATTATAGTTGGGATCCGGAACCTGGTAAGCAAAGCGTAAATGTCTAAATAAGGCAGCTTGTCAGACATTCGCTATTATGACCCAGACATCTGCACGGGAAATTGAAATGTGTGCGCCAGGGGGGGGGGGAGGGGGATTGGAGAGAGGGGGGAGGGGGGGTGCGCACGACTAATATGTAATAAGCACAGTAGAAGAAACAGGTCTTACGGGCTATTCATGCCCGTGCCACCTTTTGGGTGGCTTAATCTTCATCAATCAATCAGAAACAGGTCAAGAACCGGTACATTAGACAACCGACGATTGGAAAGGCGGGAAGCTAGAGCTAATAGGTCAATCCTGAAAACTCAAACACACACAAACACACACACACACACACACACACACACACACACACACACACACACACACACACACACACACACACACACACACACACACACACACACACACACTCACACAGGGGGCCTCGTAGGGGGCCTCGTAGCCTGGTGGATAGCGCGCAGGATTCGTAATTCTGTGGCGCGGGTTCGATTCCCGCACGAGGCAGAAACAAATGGGCAAAGTTTCTTTCACCCTGAATGCCCCTGTTACCTAGCAGTAAATAGGTACCTGGGAGTTAGTCAGCTGTCACGGGCTGCTTCCTGGGGTGTGTGTGTGTGTGGTGTGGGAAAAAAAAAAAAAAAAAAAAGTAGTTAGTAGACAGTTGATTGACAGTTGAGAGGCGGGCCGAAAGAGCAACGCTCAACCCCCGTAAAAACACAACTAGTAAACACACAGTTTTGACAGTTGAGAGGCGGGACCAAAGAGCCAAAGCTCAACCCCCGCAAGCACAATTAGGTGAGCACACACACACACACACACACACACACACACACACACACACACACACACACACCCACACCCACACACACACACATACAGACACACACACACACACACACACACACACACACATACAGACACACACACACACACACACACACACACACACACACACACACACACACACACACACACACACACACACACACACACACATACACACATTTCAATTTTCCATGCAGATATTTGGATGATAATAGTATGCTTCATGCGAGAGAGCGGCGTGGCCAGCATCACGGGGACGTTCCGGATGTGTTCGGGGGAATTTGCTTCGCATTTCGCCCACGTTTTTCCCGTCCAAAAATCTGTCGGTGGTAGCGCCAGAAAAGTTCGCTCGGGAGCGAGGTCTCTCGTTACCGCTGGCAACCCTCTTGTATCGTATCGGATTGCATTTTTTAACAAGCAATTATAATCAAAAACGTGTAGCCAAAATACTACAGGTTAATATGTTGTCTGGGCCAAATTAACGGGATGGCTTGTAAAGGGACGCAACCGATTCTCTCCCCCCCCCCCACCCCATGTCCCCCCCTTCCCCCTTTTCAACCTACCCCCTCTTTACCCCGCCCCCCCCCTCTATTAACCCCCCCACCCCCTAACCATTACTGCTTCAGGGCATCCGGCATAAAACAAAGTGGATTATTCATTTCAATTCGTATTTTGTTTAATTCACGCTGTTGTTGATGTGGGCTATATAGAGCGAGTTAATGAGCGGGGCGCGTCGGCGCGCGTCGGGACGTATCGGAACGTTGGGACGCGTCGGGGCGCGTTGGGGGGCGTCTTGGCGCATTGGAACGTCGGAGCGTCGGGGTGCGTCGGAGCGCGACGAAGCATCGGGGCGTCGGGAGTCATACCACGTCGCTCCGACACGGGGGTTGCCCATGTCAAGTGTTAATGGGTTGCAAGGTCACTTTCGGTCCGCGAGGTCACTTTCGGTCCGCGAGGTCACTTTCGGTCTCAGGTGACCCCATGTTCGGGAGTAACAACCACGCAGACACCCAGCCAAGCGCGCGATCCCTTATTGTGACGTCATTCACACGCTTGAAACCAAAACCCATTATGATGAGTTTCGTTGTATGGGGCGAAGAGTTCCATGAGTGCGTTGACAGCTGCTTGGCGGTTTTCTTGGTCTAATGGCTGGCTGGGCTTAGCGACGCACTTGTGATGTTTGCACTTAGCGGTCTTGTTGACGGTACTCGCGTTGTTGTTATAGACTCAGCTACTCGGAACAAGTTCCAAGTAGCACGGGCTATGGTGAGCCCGTAGTGGACTTACCTGGCACTGGAGCGGTGTCCTGCTCTCTGCGGTACTCTCGGACTCGTTGGGTTGGGTGATGCACGCAACGCAATCAGCGATTGTGTTGCGTGCCTCTCGCGATCAACACGCAGCGATACTAACATATTGTGGTTGACCAATCCACACACTAGAAAATGAAGGGACGACGACGTTTCGGTCCGTACTGGACCGAAACGTCGTTCAAGTCGATTAACATATTATGGTATCGCTGGACTGAACACGCTGCTGCTGTTGTTGTTGTTATAGATTCAGCTACTCGGAACAAGTTCCAAGTAGCACGGGCTATGGTGAGCCCGTAGAGGACTTACCTGGCACAGGAGCGGTGCCGTCCGAACACGCTGCGTTGCTCACATCCCTATAGACTGAACGGTGCTCTGATCTCAGGCAACTACACCCCTCGACCGTGTTGACGGTGTACCGGTCACCGCCACTTGCTAAATTAAGTGGCACACTTATCTCAGGCACTTACACTCACTGGGGGGTTGATGATACACTCATCTCAGACTCGTACACACTCAGCCTTTACGGTCCTCTCGTGGTCGTTAGTTGTGCTATGCAACCCCCCGACAGCTGAGTGGACAGCGCTTCGGATTCGTAGTCCTGAGGTTCCGGATTCGATCCGCGGTGGAGGCGGAAACAAAATGGGCAGAGTTTCTTTCACCCCTGATGTCCCTGTTCACCTAGCAGTAAATGGGTACCTGGTAGTTAGACAGTTGCTACGGGCTGCTTCCTGGGGAGTGTGTGTAACAAAAAGGAGGCCTGGTCCTGGACCGAGCCGCGGGGACGCTAAGCCCCGAAATCATCTCTAAACTCAAGATAACCTACAAATGTATCTGAAGGGTTCGGAATGCATTTGAAGGGTTTAGAATGCTTTAAAAAATTCAGAACTTATTTAAACGGTTCAGAATGCATTCAAAGAATTCGAAATGTATTTGAAGAGTTCAAAACGTATTTGAAGAATTCAGAATGCATTTGAAGGGTCTATAATGCATTTGAAGAATTATGAATGCGTTTGAAGGGGTCTAGAGTACATTTTTAGAACTCAAAATACATCTGAAAGGTTCAGAATGCATTTGAAGGATTCGGGATGTGTCGACATGCTGTGAAGCACACTGAGAGGCTTCATAGTGTGCTTAGATCCCCCTGTAATCGGGTTATGGACTACTGAACACCTCGCGAGGCTTCTCAATATGTTGTGTAGGTGTAGAGGTGTTGCTCCCGTCGTCCTCAGGGTGTGCTCGTCCAAGCCCTCGTCGTCCTCGGGGTGTGCTCGTCCAAGCCCTCGTCGTCCTCAGGGTGTGCTCGTCCAAGCCCCCGTCGTCCTCAGGGTGTGCTCGTCCAAGCCCTCGTCGTCCTCAGGGTGTGCTCGTCCAAGCCCCCGTCGTCCTCAGGGTGCGCTCGTCCAAGCCCTCGTCGTCCTCAGGGTGTGCTCGTCCAAGCCCTCGTCGTCCTCGGGGTGTGCTCGTCCAAGCCCTCGTCGTCCTCAGGGTGTGCTCGTCCAAGCCCTCGTCGTCCTCAGGGTGTGCTCGTCCAAGCCCTCGTCGTCCTCAGGGTGTACTCGTCCAAGCCCTCGTCGTCCTCGGGGTGTGCTCGTCCAAGCCCTCGTCGTCCTCAGGGTGTGCTCGTCCAAGCCCTCGTCGTCCTCAGGGTGTGCTCGTCCAAGCCCTCGTCGTCCTCAGGGTGTGCTCGTCCAAGCCCTCGTCGTCCTCAGGGTGTGCTCGTCCAAGCCCTCGTCGTCCTCAGGGTGTGCTCGTCCAAGCCCTCGTCGTCCTCAGGGTGTGCTCGTCCAAGCCCTCGTCGTCCTCAGGGTGTGCTCGTCCAAGCCCTCGTCGTCCTCAGGGTGTGCTCGTCCAAGCCCTCGTCGTCCTCGGGGTGTGCTCGTCCAAGCCCCCGTCGTCCTCGGGGTGTGCTCGTCCAAGCCCTCGTCGTCCTCGGGGTGTGCTCGTCCAAGCCCTCGTCGTCCTCGGGGTGTGCTCGTCCAAGCCCTCGTCGTCCTCAAGGTGTGCTCGTTCAAGCCCTCGCCGTCCTCAAGGTGTGCTCGTTCAAGCCCTCGTCGTCCTCAGGGTGTGCTCGTCCAAGCCCTCGTCGTCCTCAGGGTGTGCTCGTCCAAGCCCTCGTCGTCCTCAGGGTGTGCTCGTCCAAGCCCTCGTCGTCCTCAGGGTGTGCTCGTCCAAGCCCTCGTCGTCCTCAGGGTGTGCTCGTCCAAACCCTCGTCGTCCTCGGGGTGTGCTCGTCCAAGCCCTCGTCGTCCTCGGGGTGTGCTCGTCCAAGCCCTCGTCGTCCTCAGGATGTGCTCGTCCAAGCCCTCGTCGTCCTCAGGATGTGCTCGTCCAAACCCTCGTCGTCCTCGGGGTGTGCTCGTCCAAGCCCTCGTCGTCCTCGGGGTGTGCTCGTCCAAGCCCTCGTCGTCCTCGGGGTGTGCTCGTCCAAGCCCTCGTCGTCCTCAAGGTGTGCTCGTTCAAGCCCTCGCCGTCCTCAAGGTGTGCTCGTTCAAGCCCTCGTCGTCCTCAGGGTGTGCTCGTTCAAGCCCTCGTCGTCCTCAGGGTGTGCTCGTTCAAGCCCTCGTCGTCCTCAGGGTGTGCTCGTCCAAGCCCTCGTCGTCCTCAGGGTGTGCTCGTTCAAGCCCTCGTCGTCCTCAGGGTGTGCTCGTCCAAGCCCTCGTCGTCCTCAGGGTGTGCTCGTTCAAGCCCTCGTCGTCCTCGAACAAGCGCCCATAAATCTTAATAATATACATAATGTACATTCGAAATCGATATTTAATTTTTTTACATATATTATTAAATATTAGAATTTAGTTTATAGCTAGGCCGAAATTTGGTCTCATTAATTAGGTCTTTAAGTGAAGATGGTAATTATGTGTGTCTGTTGTACGTCTCTTACGTTACAGCACGCAAAACTACCTCATCCCTTTGTGTGTATTTTACCTCAATAAACTTATTTCAATTTCAATTTCAATCACCTAACTGACCAAACTGGTGCTGCCAAAATGGCTTACCTCATTCCTCAATACGTGACAGCTGTAGTTTAATTGTCCCTCAAATGACTAACAACACGATAGTTACGTTTTCCCATAATAAGCATCACATTCTCTCCACATAGCTCAATTGTGCCCCAGGCGACAAATGGCCACCCTACCATAGCCCAGGCGTTTATTAACTCCCATTCCCCCATTCCTCCCCCCCATGATGGCCATTTTGAGCAGCACCTCGCTGTTCAAAATTCATGGGGGAGGGTGATGTGTGCCCAAATGGTTATATAGTGCATATGAGGTGGTCTGGTCTTACAATATGGGCCGCACGCCTCCGCTCGTTTAACCGTGTCGACATGAATATTACAAATGTGACTTGTGTCAACCGTGGGTGTATGGCTTGACTGCTGTCGGCGTCTGTCTCAACTCCGACACCAGGGCTGCTGTCGGCACCTGCAGGCACGAGAGGCAGTAAGCTAAGCTAACACAACACCAGGTACAGCAAGCACACACACGAGAGGCAGTAAGCCAGGCTAACACAGCACCAGGTACAGCAAGCACACACACACACGAGAAGCAGTAAGCCAGGCTAACACAACACCAGGTACAGCAAGCACACACACACGAGAGGCAGTAAGCCAAGCTAACACAACACCAGGTACAGCAAGCACACACACACGAGAGGCAGTAAGCCAAGCTAACACAACACCAGGTACAGCAAGCACACACACACGAGAGGCAGTAAGCCAAGCTAACACAACACCAGGTACAGCAAGCACACACACACACACGAGAGGCAGTAAGCCAGGCTGACACAACACCAGGTACAGCAAGCACACACACGCAAGAGGCAGTAAGCCAAGCTAACACAACACCAGGTACAGCAAGCACACACACACACACGAGAGGCAGTAAGCCAGGCTGACACAACACCAGGTACAGCAAGCACACACACACGAGAGGCAGTAAGCCAAGCTAACACAACACCAGGTACAGCAAGCACACACACACGAGAGGCAGTACACTGGGAACGGGGAGGTGTACACCTGTGGTGTCAACACACTAACTAGTACATAATGCCTCGCCTGTGTACACCAGATTAAAATTCCTTCACAGGATTCACAGGTCAGCCATTGCCTTAGTGCAAATTATTTACTATTGTCCCATTTCCCTTTACCTGCCTCGTTACCCCCTTTCCTGCCCCTTCCCACAGCTTTTCTGCCTTGTTACCCCCCCTTTCCCTGCCCTCTTCCACCCCTTTTCTGTCGTGCCATCTCTTCCCTTCCCTCTTCCATCCTTTTTCTGTCGTACCATCCCTTCCCTACCCTCTTCCATCCCTTTTCTGTCGTGCCATCCCTTTCCCTGCCCTCTTCCCTGCCCCTTCCATTTTCTATCGTTGCAACTTGCCATTCTGGCATCCGTGGTCCTTTTTCCTGTTCCTTTTCCCCATTCATTAGATTCTTTCCCTTCCTTCTTAACTCTTTCTCTTTCCTGTTACTTCCTCTTCCCCCCATTTCAATTCCCCCCACCCTTTCCTTTTCCACAACCCTCCGCTCCCCCCATTTCCACTTCCGTGCTTCCTGTCTTCACTTGTACCTTCTCATCCCCATCTCTCCCCCCCTTCCCGGAATCTTAACTCAGCTTTAATGCCTTTCCCGTTCCCCCCTTCCCTCGCCCCTTTTCTGCCTTCTCTCTTCTCGGCCGCAAAAGCGAATCACGACACCCAATTTGAAGACGAATATGAAGGGAAGAATAACACTGGTAACTACATGAGGGGAGGGGGGGGGAGGGAGGGGAATGGGGGGAAAGGGGAGAAATTATCCCTCAAAATTGCATTTATCCAGAATGTCTTCGTTCACATGTTCAAAGTTGAGCGGTAGAATGGTATTTCCAATCCCAGCTCCCGCAATACCCCCTTCCCTTCCCCCTCTTCCCCAATCATCCCCCCCCCCTGCTTACCCCTCTCTTCCTAATCACTCCTCCCTCTCTTTGTATTCTATCATTCCCCCTTTTGCCTTATCACTCCCTCTCTCTCTCCTCCTATCCCCTAAGCATCTCGAGCCCTCCCTATCCCTCTTCCCAATCATCTCTCCATCTTCATCTGCCGAATCATCCCCCCCCTCCCCCCTCTCCCACGTAACCCCTTCTCTCCTTCCTCCTAGTCATCCCTCTCCACCCCTTCACCCCCTCCACCCCATCAACCCCCTTCCCCCCTCCCCCCCCCCAAAACCGGCCAGCCCAGGCTAGCAGGGGGGGGGGGTGATATTACAACCCCGAACACATTGTTATTTCAACCCGGGTTTAAGAGCGTCATTTTAATAGCGGGCGGCCCTGGTAGCGACGCCTCACGCCCACAAAATGAGGAAAATAGGTTTATGCGGACCAGGCAAGGCCGCCCCCACCCACTGATTCGCTCTGCCGCTGCTAATGGTAGGAGTGATTTGTCAGGCGCGTGTGTGGGGGTGGCGGTGGTAAAGGATGTTGGGGTGTGGGGGGGGGGGAGGAGAGAGGGGGGCATGTGGTGAGAAGGATGGTGTGGGGATGTTGATAGATGGAGGATTGGAGAGGGATGTGTTGTAATTGGGATGTTAAGAGATGTGGGGGTTGGGACGGATGTTGGAGGAAGGGGGAAAATGGTGGAGCAGATGTTGTAGGGGGTGGTGGAGGGGTGGGTGTGGAGAGTGTTGTAGTGGTGTGGATGTTTAGGGATGTGTAGGTGGAGAGGTATTTTTTTGGAGGGGGGGGGAGCTGTGGGGGAGTAAAGAAGATGAAGACGTGCAGGTAATGAAAATGTTTAGAAATGTGGAATACAGAGTGAGTTATGATAGCAGGCGGGCTGTCCGCCTTGCTGACACGATGGGCGTTAGGTAGTTTAAGCTAAGCTCGTTTTCTCTCTCTCTGTCTCTCTCTCTCTCTCTCTCTCTCTCTCTCTCTCTCTCTCTCTCTCTCTCTCTCTCTCTCGCTCTCGCTCTCGCTCTCGCTCGTTCAGGCAGCTGGCTGTGGTGGAGGGGGGGGGGGTGTGGAGGGTTCCTGAATGCATTTCAACACGTGTCCACAGATGCATCTTTTGTAGCATTCACCAATAACAACCACACGTGCTGGTGTTCGCATGTGTGTACATGTGTGTACATGTGTTGGTATCATGTTCCAGTGTCGGTGTTTTCTGGCGGCCGCTTCTAGTCCAGCTTTCATCTTGGAATGATGTATTCTATGCTTGATTGGCCTTGCGTAGGTCCAAGCCCTTGAGTAGGTCCAAGCCTTTGAATAGGTGCAAGCCCTTGAGTAGGTCCAAGCCCTTGAGTAGGTCCAAGCCTTTGAATAGGTGCAAGCCCTTGAGTAGGTCCAAGCCCTTGAGTAGGTCCAAGCCCTTGCGTAGGTCCAAGCCCTTGAGTAGGTCCAAGCCCTTGAGTAGGTCCAAGCCCTTGCGGCACCAGCTGTGGGTGTGCGGGTGTGGGGTCGACTCGGCTTGAAGTTGTCTCTCTAGCACTGATCGAATCCCTTGTAGCACTGCGATCATGTGCCACACTGTGGAGGTTCGGTGGTGTAGCATGGTTGGGGACTTGGTAGAATTTCTTTACATTGTAGAATGATGATTATTCGAGACACGGCCGGACTATAGAGCCTTGAGGATGCGGCCGGATTAGAGCCTTGAGGATGCTGCCCGATTAGAGCCTTGAGGATGCGGCCGGACTATAGAGCCTTGAGGATGTGGCCGAACTATAGAGCCTTGAGGATGCTTCCCGACTATAGAGCCTTGAGGATGCGGCCGGATTAGAGCCTTGAGGATGCGGCCGGATTAGAGCCTTGAGGATGCGGCCGGATTAGAGCCTTGAGGATGCGGCCGAACTATAGAGCCTTGAGGATGCGGCCGGACTATAGAGCCTTGAGGATGTGGCCGAACTATAGAGCCTTGAGGATGTGGCCGAACTATAGAGCCTTGAGGATGCTGCCGGACTATAGAACCTTGAGGATGTGGCCGAACTATAGAGCCTTGAGGATGCTGCCCGACTATAGAGGCTTGAGGATGTGGCCGAACTATAGAGCCTTGAGGATGCTGCCCGACTATAGAGGCTTGAGGATGCTGCCCGACTATAGAGGCTTGAGGATGCTGCCGGACTATAGAGCCTTGAGGATGCGGCCGGATTAGAGCCTTTAGGATGCGGCCGGATTAGAGCCTTGAGGATGCGGCCGGATTAGAGCCTTGAGGATGCGGCCGGATTAGAGCCTTGAGGATGCTGCCGGATTAGAGCCTTGAGGATGCGGCCGGATTAGTGCTTTGAGGATGCGGCCGGACTAGAGCCTTGAGGATGCGGCCGGACTATAGAGCCTTGAGGATGTGGCCGAACTATAGAGCCTTGAGGATGTGGCCGAACTATAGAGCCTTGAGGATGCTGCCGGACTATAGAACCTTGAGGATGTGGCCGAACTATAGAGCCTTGAGGATGCTGCCCGACTATAGAGGCTTGAGGATGCTGCCGGACTATAGAGCCTTGAGGATGCGGCCGGATTAGAGCCTTTAGGATGCGGCCGGATTAGAGCCTTGAGGATGCGGCCGGATTAGAGCCTTGAGGATGCGGCCGGATTAGAGCCTTGAGGATGCTGCCGGATTAGAGCCTTGAGGATGCGGCCGGATTAGAGCTTTGAGGATGCGGCCGGACTAGAGCCTTGAGGATGCGGCCGGACTATAGAGCCTTGAGGATGTGGCCGAACTATAGAGCCTTGAGGATGTTGCCGGACTATAGAGCCTTGAGGATGTCGAACTATAGAGCCTTGAGGATGCGGCCGGACTATAGAGCCTTGAGGATGCGGCCGGACTATAGAGCCTTGAGGATGTGGCCGAACTATAGAGCCTTGAGGATGTGGCCGAACTATAGAGCCTTGAGGATGCTGCCGGACTATAGAGCCTTGAGGATGCGGCCGGATTAGAGCCTTTAGGATGCGGCCGGATTAGAGCCTTGAGGATGCGGCCGGATTAGAGCCTTGAGGATGCGGCCGGATTAGAGCCTTGAGGATGCTGCCGGATTAGAGCCTTGAGGATGCGGCCGGATTAGAGCTTTGAGGATGCGGCCGGACTAGAGCCTTGAGGATGCGGCCGGACTATAGAGCCTTGAGGATGTGGCCGAACTATAGAGCCTTGAGGATGTTGCCGGACTATAGAGCCTTGAGGATGTCGAACTATAGAGCCTTGAGGATGCGGCCGGACTATAGAGCCTTGAGGATGCGGCCGGACTATAGAGCCTTGAGGATGTGGCCGAACTATAGAGCCTTGAGGATGTGGCCGAACTATAGAGCCTTGAGGATGCTGCCGGACTATAGAGCCTTGAGGATGCGGCCGGATTAGAGCCTTTAGGATGCGGCCGGATTAGAGCCTTGAGGATGCGGCCGGATTAGAGCCTTGAGGATGCGGCCGGATTAGAGCCTTGAGGATGCTGCCGGATTAGAGCCTTGAGGATGCGGCCGGATTAGAGCTTTGAGGATGCGGCCGGACTAGAGCCTTGAGGATGCGGCCGGACTATAGAGCCTTGAGGATGTGGCCGAACTATAGAGCCTTGAGGATGTTGCCGGACTATAGAGCCTTGAGGATGTCGAACTATAGAGCCTTGAGGATGCGGCCGGACTATTGAGCCTTGAGGATGCGGCCGGACTATAGAGCCTTGAGGATGTGGCCGAACTATAGAGCCTTGAGGATGTGGCCGAACTATAGAGCCTTGAGGATGCTGCCGGACTATAGAGCCTTGAGGATGCTTCCCGACTATAGAGCCTTGAGGATGTCGAACTATAGAGCCTTGAGGATGCTGCCGGACTATAGAGCCTTGAGGATGCGGCCGGACTATAGAGCCTTGAGGATGCTGCCGGACTATAGAGCCTTGAGGATGCTGCCGGACTATAGAGCCTTGAGGATGTGGCCGAACTATAGAGCCTTGAGGATGCTTCCCGACTATAGAGGCTTGAGGATGCTGCCTGACTATAGAGCCTTGAGGATGCTGCTGGACTATAGAGCCTTGAGGATGCGGTCAGACTTGAGCCTTGAGGATGCTGCCGGACTATAGAGCCTTGAGGATGCTGCCGGACTATAGAGCCTTGAGGATGCTGCTGGACTATAGAGCCTTGAGGATGTGGCCGGACTATAGAGCCTTGAGGATGCGGCCGGGCTATAGAGCCTTGAGGAGGATGCCCGACTATAGAGCCTTGAGAATGCGGCCGAACTATAGTGCCTTGAGAATGCTGCCGGACTATAGAGCCTTGAGGATGCAGCCGGACTATAGAGCCTTAAGGATGCGGTCGAACTATAGAGCTTTGAGGATGCGGTCGGACTATAGAGCCTTGAGGACGTGGCCGGACTATAGAGCCTTGAGGATGCGACCGGACTATAGAGCCTTGTTGATGCGGAGTCCCAGCATGTTGCGTCCCAGCATGTTGAGTCCCAGCATGTTGCGTCCCAGCATGTTGAGTCCCAGCATGTTGCGTCCCAGCATGTTGCGTCCCAGCATGTTGAGTCCCAGCATGTTGAGTCCCAGCATGTTGAGTCCCAGCATGTTGCGTCCCAGCATGTTGCGTCCCAGCATGTTGCGTCCCAGCATGTTGAGTCCCAGCATGTTGCGTCCCAGCATGTTGCGTCCCAGCATGTTGCGTCCCAGCATGTTGAGTCCCAGCATGCTGCGTCCCAGCATGTTGCGTCCCAGCATGTTGAGTCCCAGCATGTTGAGTCCCAGCATGTTGCGTCCCAGCATGTTGCGTCCCAGCATGTTGCGTCCCAGCATGCTGCGTCCCAGCATGTTGCGTCCCAGCATGTTGCGTCCCAGCATGTTGAGTCCCAGCATGTTGAGTCCCAGCATGTTGCGTCCCAGCATGTTGAGTCACAGCATGTTGCGTCCCAGCATGCTGCGTCCCAGCATGTTGCGTCCCAGCATGTTGAGTCCCAGCATGTTGAGTCCCAGCATGTTGAGTCCCAGCATGTTGCGTCCCAGCATGTTGAGTCCCAGCATGTTGAGTCCCAGCATGTTGAGTCCCAGCATGTTGCGTCCCAGCATGTTGCGTCCCAGCATGTTGCGTCCCAGCATGTTGCGTCCCAGCATGTTGAGTCCCAGCATGTTGAGTCCCAGCATGTTGAGTCCCAGCATGTTGCGTCCCAGCATGTTGAGTCCCAGCATGTTGAGTCCCAGCATGTGGCGTCCCAGCATGTTGCGTCCCAGCATGTTGAGTCCCAGCATCTTGAGTCCCAGCGTCTTGAGTCCCAGCATCTTGAATCCCAGCATCTTGAATCCCAGCATCTTGAATCCCAGCATCTTGAATCCCAGCATCTTGAATCCCAGCATCTCGCCTACAATCGCATGTGAGACTGGGCAGTTGTCAAAGATAATGGACTCTGAATTTCATTTTGCAATGTGTATATTATTTGGAACTATTGTTTGTTGGGGAGCCTTAACCACCGTTGAAAATGTTGACAAGTTCAACGAAACGCAGCTCTTGAAATGTTAACTGAACGCAGGAGAGTTATTTTTTTTTCAATTTCCTTCTCAAGTGAAGAACATGTGAAATACAGAGAAGTTTGAGTAATAGAATTATTGATCTAACCATATTATTGTCATATATATATATATATATATATATATATATATATATATATATATATATATATATATATATATATATATATATATATATATATATATATATATATATATAAGATGCAGATAGTTGCATTTGTATACAGCGGGAACACGGAAAAACGAATAATTAAATAAAATATATGAATATATAAATACATAAAGGCGTCGGGGCGGTGAGGAACGCAGTAAAGGCCTGTGCTTTACTATATATATTTTATGTCCAATTTTGGGTTTTATTCCAAGATAAATTAAAAATACAAGAATGGTAAAAAATATAAATTTGGAGTCAGCTTAATCCCAAACCACAACTAACTACCTAAAAGACGAGTTTTTGTATATTTCTTTTATGAAAATTTGGGGGGAATTGTTGACTATTTTAAAATTAAATCTTCAATTTTTATGTCTTTTTAATCCTAAAAATGTCGCAGGTATATAAAATACATGGTACAATTAAAATATTTTTTTAATCTATATATATAAGGTGGGGTCAATGTGAGATTAACGCCGAATTTTTAAATAAACCCCAAAATATTAATATTCAGTAGGAACTTTCTTCATTTCATCTCATTTCTATTTTAAATTACTTTATATATATATATATATATATATATATATATATATATATATATATATATATATATATATATATATATATATAAACAGTTTATACTTTAGTTTATTATGTTAGGTTAGGTTAAGTTTAGGGTAGGTTAGGATAGGTTCAGGGTAGGTTAGGTTAGGTTAGGTTAGGTTAGGTTAAGTTTAGGGTAGGTTAGGTTAGGTTAGGTTAGGTTCAGGGTAGGTTAGGTTCAGGGTAGGTTAGGTTAGGTTAGGTCAGGTCAGGGTAGGTTAGGTTAGGTTAGGTTAGGTTAGGTCAGGTCAGGTCAGGTCAGGTCAGGTCAGGGTAGGTTAGGTTAGGTTAGGTTCAGGGTAGGTTAGGTTAGGTTAGTTCAGGGTAGGTTAGGTCTGGTACCATTAGCACTAAGGTCCCTGGGTTTGGGAACACTGTCCCTCTGAATAAAAGGGTCATAGCGGGCTTCTATAATTAATAGTATGTCATATTTTGGGCGTTGGGGGATTTATGCCCCAAAATGCGATGTAGTGTTCGAGAGGAATGAGCCTACGTCCTTCTCCGTTTAGAAGGTAAACACATTCCTAGAGGTACGTGATCAACCGGGCTGTGGCTCCTACGTCGGCGTGCATGCAGCATCGTCCATAACTGATCCTGGGAACCACCTCAAGGTAACCTCAAGGTAAGCTGAGGTACCGTGATGTCTTCCAGGAGTTCCCTATAGATTATGTCTACAAAAATCTACCTGATCCCCACCACCCTCTTCCCTACTCTTCTCCCACAACTACCCTTAACTTACCCCACCCACTCCTAACTTTCTCCCCTAACCTACCCTTTCTTCCCCACCCTCCCCACTCTTCCTTCCCTATCTCATCCTCCTTCCCTGCAATTCTCCCCGACAATCCCTTCCTCCCTCACCCCCCCTACCCTTCCCACCTCCCGTTGACCCATATATTCTTCCTAATGTAGTTTATCCTGCTTCTTATCCTACCTAGCCTCATATCCTGACTATCGTTCCATATCCTTCATATTTCCCGCATCTTGTTCTACCTTATCTTTCAGGTTCCAGCTCTTCCCCTTATCTTGCACCTTTCCAATCCTCCTGTTATCTTATAGGTTTCCAATTCTCCCTCTATCTTATAGCTTTCCAATCCTTCCGTTATCTTATAGCTTTCCAATTCTCCTGTTATAGCTTTCCAATCACCCCGTTATCTTATAGCTTTCCAATCCTTCCGTTATCTTATAGCTTTCTAATCTTCCCGTTATCTTAAAGCTTTCCAATCCTCCCGTTACCTTATATCTTTCCAATCCTCCTGTTATCTTAGGGCTTTCCAATCCCCACTTATCTTATATCTATCCAGTCCTGGTAACATTTGCTACCTAGTCTTCCGTGCGAGCAATTAACCGCCCCCCCACCATCCCCCATCCTTCACCTAGCTGCACAACCTGTCAGCTGCCTATACTATCCTCCCTTATCCTCCATGCCAACTATCCTACTACTGGGGTCCACCACCCTACAAGGCTATCCCAGTGGCTTGTAGGATAGTAGTTTGTTTCTTGCCACTGCTACCCTACCCCCCCCCCTCTCCTGTCATTCAACTTAAATCCACGCTATATCCTATCCATACTATCCAGGCCCTTTGCTACCTTGCCTAGCCCTTAGCTTCCCGGCTCCTAGCCCCTTTAGCCCCCTAGCCCTTTGAGCCCCCTAGCCCCCCTAGCCTCTTAGCCCCCTAGCCCCCTATCCTCTTAGCCCCCCTTTAGCCCCCCCCCTAGCCCCTGTTATCCTGCCTCTCCCTTCAACTCGCTACTTCAGTTTCTTTTAAGGGAAAAATCCACTTAAGGGCGGAGTTGATCGCATTGGTGGAGCGGCGGCGGATCTTCCATAACGTTTCGTTCTTTTGGATTTGCTCTCGTTCAGTTTTTCATATTTCCACGTCACATTCTCCGAATCACATCGCTCGTTTTCAGTTATGTTCGCCTTTAGTCACCCTCTGGCATCGTTTTTTTTCCGTCATTCTTTGCTTATTTCCTCTTATTTTGACGACTTTTCATAGTTCATCGCTCATTTCCTAACTCTTAGTTACGTTTTCACAGCTTATCGTTTTCTTTCATCCATTTCGTCTCTTTCCCCACACATCCTAAATCTCTCTTTCCACAATACATCGCTCAATTTGATTCCTTGATCCCCTCCCGCGAGTTTTTTTGCAGTTCTTCGTTCATTTCCATTTAGTTTGGCATTTTCTCCGTCTTTTTCAGCCTGTATAAACTGATCCTTCTGGTGGATGGAATTTGAGTACGCGCTTTTTGTAGTGTTTTATTGGTCATTGTTAGATAATAATAATAATAATAATAATAATAATAATAATAATAATAATAATATTAATAATAATAATAATAATAATATTAATAATAATAATAATTAAATAATAATAATAATTAAATAATATTAATTAAATAAATAATAATAAATAATAATAATAAATAATAATAATAAAATAATAATAATAATAATAATAATCATAATAATAATAATAATAATAATAATAATTAAATAATAATAATAATTAAATAATAATAATAATTAAATAATATTAATTAAATAAATAATAATAAATAATAATACTAAAATAATAATATATAAATAATAATAATAATAATAATTAAATAATAATAATAATAATATTTAAATAATAATAATAATAAATAATTAATAATAATAATAACTAGTTCACTATTATACCAACTGTCGATATTATTGAATTTATTCATACTGACGTACACAGGTATACAGATACCTGTGTATACCAGTACGTATAGCCTATATATACACACGTACACATTCCATCACCAACATTACACAATACAATTTATTCCGAACGAACAAGAGTATTAAAGCCACCTTGGATGGGACACATTTACCCCCCCCCCATCCTCTTCCATCCTAAGTACACGTCCAACATATACATCCAAGTTATGCATATGTCTGTCTGTCTGTGTTGAATGTCCCTTTGTATTTTCCACATTCCCCTCCCACCCCCCCTATCCCACTTCCCTAGCCCCCAAGCGATTATCCTCAGCCCATTTTCTACGATGCTCCATGCCTATTTTCTTCTGTGTACTGGCCCCATTTCCTATTGTGCGTGTTGGCTGGGCAGGCCTTCAAGGCGTGAATGGTTATTTAAGAAAGAAAGAGAGAACTATTTGCTAAGTCATTTCTTTAAGTTGCCTAAGGTGAGGAGTGTGTGTGTGTGTGTGTGTGTGTGTGTGTGTGTGTGTGTGTGTGTGCGTGTGTGTGTGTGTGTGTGTGTGTGTGTGTGTGTGTGTGTGTGTGTGTGTATGTGCGTGTGTGTGTACTCACCTAGTTGTGCTTGCGGGGGTTGAGCTCTGACTCTTTGGTCCCGCCTCTCAACCGTCAATCAACTGATGTACTGAATCCTGAGCCTATTGGGCTCTTATCATATCTACATTTGAAACTATGTATGGAGTCAGCCTCCACCACATCACTGCCTAATACATTCCATTTGTTAACTACGCTGAAAAAGTTCTTTCTAATGTCCCTGTGGCTCATTTGGGTACTCAGTTTCCACCTGTGTCCCCTTGTTCGCGTACCACCCGTGTTAAAAACTTTATCCTTATCTACCCTGTCAATTCCTCTGAGAATTTTGTAGGTAGTGATCATGTCTCCTTTTACTCTTCTGTATTCCAGTGTTGTGAGGTGCATTTCACGCAACCTTTCCTCGTAACTCATGCCTCTTAGTTCTGGGACTAGCCTAGTGGCATACCTCTGAACTTCTTCCAGCTTCGTCTTGTGCTTTACAAGGTATGGGCTCCATGCTGGGGCCGCATACTCCAGGGTTGGTCTTACATACGTGGTATACAAGGTTCTGAATGATTCCTTATACAGGTTCCTGAAGGCTGTTCTGATGTTAGCCAGCCACGCGTATGCCGAAGATGTAATTCTTTTTATGTGGGCTTCGGGAGACAGGTTTGGTGTGATATTAACTCCTAGATCTTTCTCTTTGTCCGTTTCATGAAGTACTTCATTTCCCATTTGATATCCTGTGTCTGGCCTCCTGTTTCCACCGCCTAGTTTCATGACCTTGCATTTACTCGGGTTGAACTTTAGTAGATATTTGCTGGACCATTCATTCAG